GTGGGAGGTTGCTGATGGAAGACTCAGTGTTTTCCCCTCTGCATCAGTCCTGAACTGATACCAACTGACATTGTGCCAGCAGGACATTGCCCTGATAGAAGTGATGTTAGTGATTAAGTAGGTGGCATTTTCCCCTCAGTCTTAGTAGTACAGAAATAATGCCCCCAAAACTGTGCCAGGAGTTATGCTGCTGCTGGGTGTGTCATCTTTTGGATGAGTTGGAAAAAACATATTGATTCTGTGTAGTTCTTTATGATCCCAAGAGTAGCAGGGTTAGCTCTGGTATTCTATCTACATTCTAACTCTTATCTCATTCAATTCCACCTATTTCAATTTCCCCAGCACTTTCAACTGGATAAAATATTCTACATTTCCAGCCTTAAACTGATGGGTAGAGATACTTTGTGTTAAATATTGCAGCAGCCTTTCAAAGGTGACTGGAATGATCCGTTGTGTGTAGTCTGTACATATTTTATTAAATAAAATGTGTAAAGTGCCTTCAGTTTCTTGGAGAAGAAAGTTGCGATGTAAATTACAATATTGTTTATACTACTATCAAACTGATAACGTTAAGGATTAGCTAATGTGACTGTATGTGATCACTTAAAAAATGTGTGTAACAAAAAAGTGGTCCATTCTCAGCAGGACATCTCTGTTATGTTTTGATGTCTTCAGCATATTTTCATATCTGCATGTGGGTTCTTTACCTCTTAATTTAGGAATTTCCTTCTTGAGGAATAATGAATTTATGAAACATTGTGACTAGTTTTAAGGTGCCTTTCCTTTCCTTTTATTAACAGCAAGAGCAACAAATTAAAAAGGCAGATACAACAGATATGTGTTTTAATGCAGCAAAATGCAAGGTCAAACATCTAGGAACAAAGAGTGCAGCCTATACCATAGTTCTCAAACAACTGAACATGAATTTCCAGTATGGTACTGTGGGGAAAAAGGACTTTAATGTATAAACAGGAGAGTAGTGAGCAGGAATAGATAGGTAATTTTTATCTCTGTATACAGCATTGGTCAGACTGATACTGGAATACTGCATCTAGTTCTAGTGTCCATAGTTTAAAAAGGATGTTGGAAAATTGGAGAGGGAGCAGAAAATGATTGGAGAGGGAGCCATTAAAATGATTTGGGGCTGCAGAAAATGCCTTACAGTGAGAAACTTAAATATTTCAATCTATTTAGTTTATGAAAAAGAAGATTGAGAGGCATAAGTACCTTCATGGGGAGAAAATACCAAGTAGTAAAGGTCTCTTTAAACTAGGTGAGAAAGGCATAGTGAGTACCAATATCTTGAACTTAAAATCAGACAAATTCAAGGGCAAAATAAGGCACACGTTTTTAATAGTGAGTGTGATTAACCATTGGAACAAACTATCAAGGGAAGTAGTGGGTTCTCCATCTCCTGATGTCTTCAAGTCAAAACTGGATGCTTTCTGGAAGACATGTTTTAGTCAAACATGCGTTATCAGGTTCATTACAGGGGTAACTGGATAAAATTCTTTGGTCTGTGTTATACAAGAGGTCATATTAGATGATCAACCTTAAAATCTGTGGTCTCTTCTGACTTTAAACTCTGTGAATATAAATAAAAAAAATAATAATTCCAAACATTGCTAATTTTCTTCCATTAACGTAATTGTGATCCTGTGAAAGACACACCTGTTGGAACTGTATCTATTTGGAACTGAGATTCTTCCCCCCCTCCCTCCCCCCGCCAAAAAAAAACCTTATTTGAAATTCTGTGGCTTTTAAATTATGTGGGTGGATACACAACAGATAATTATATTGTCATTCTTTCAAGCAGATACTCTACTATGATTATTACTTTTAAATACTCAGAAAATGATCCAAAGTGATAACCAAAGCCAGAACACAGAGGAAATAATTAAAGAGCTGGTAAGTTTTTGATATTTTGAGAGTTAAAAAATAACAAAACCAAGTCACTGTTAATATTTTTGCCAAAACTATGTGGTAATATATACTTCTGTAAAAATACCATCAGTGCAGGATTCTCACTCCTGGACTGTTCAGAGGGCAGTACATGGCATACAATGACAACAGGGGTCTGCAAGGGTCAAAAACCTTATGAATGATGGGAGGGCCACTAGTCCCAGGCTAAGAAGAAAAATCCCAGGAGTGAGAATCTTGCAAGAGGACATAGTCAGAGAAGCAGAATTTCAAGGTAATTTTCCCTTTGTCCCTTTTTGTTGTGAAGTATAGTGCAGACATATTCAAATATATGGAAATAAGCTTTAGTAACGTAAGTGAACAAAATAAACCCAGCAGCCTTTAATCAAGACAAGTTCTTAAAGCCTATCTTGCACCAGGTAAGTCAATGGAAGCTTTGCCATTGACTCAGTTGGAAGCCGGATCAGGTCATTAGTGAAGTTAATGGGAGTTTTACTGGTAGGTACTGAAGGAAGAGCCTCCACAGTATTTATTCTTTCTTGGAAAAGTCGTGTTTTGCTATTTTGTCATGTTTAGAATTTTAATGAAATTTTATGTAATTTTTGTCTTTACTATAGCTACACTGGTGGTGGCATGAAGGGTGTGTGTAGCTACATGCTGCAGTCAATAGCAAGCTGCGTCCATGCTGCAGTGTGTACATGTGTCTGTGAAAGACATTCCCCTGCCTGAGTCTTTCCCAGCTGTGGAGAAGGGCTCCAGCAGGAGTATTTCTTTGCGGGGAAAGGCTGCAGCAGCAGCAGGCAGGCAGCAGGACACTACTCTGCTAAAAACAGTAGTGTAGATGGGGAGGCATGTCTTGGGCAAGTAGAGAGCCACGTAGGGTATGTACTCGTGTATATCCCCACACACATCAGGCATGTCTTTACTTGTGTTACCCGTTCAAAATTATCTTACTCACACTCTAGGGGCACCGACCTTTATCCTGTTCCCCGGACTCAGGCATAACCCTGTTAATTTAGGCAACCACCTTTACCCTTCTGTGGGCTCGTAATCTTATACTCTGTGGCTTTGTGGGGTCTTTTACTAGTGAAAGAGCCTTACACAGTAATATCCTACTTAATCTTTATTTATTAACAATTACCAAAACAGAATGCACACGCTACACATACAGTGCTCACCACTCCCAATAAGGCAGATTAACTTTATTGATGGCCAGTCAGGATCAGGTCATCTGGGGGATTCCAGCTTCTGCACGGTGTGGTTGGCAGGGTGTTGAGGTCTGGCAGCTCTGATTTTGTGGCCGTGTCCTGGAGTTGGTTCCAAAGAACTTCCTTTTGGACCCCAGTTTATATAGTGAAGCTTAGCTATACTTTAACCAATCATTTTACTAAGATATTTCTAAACAATTCTCTAACCAATCCTATGGCACCACCTTAATTGATTTACAACCAGCAAAATTAATTATGTAACAGACAGAAACGATGAGAGAACCAGACAGAGACCACACAGATAAACAATAGAGAAGTGGGGACCCTAAAGACAAAAAAATGGGGATTTTACAACCACAGCTATTGATAAAAAGCAACAGAGGGTCCTGTGGCACCTTTAAGACTAACAGAAGTATTGGGAGCATAAGCTTTCGTGAGTAAGAACCTCACTTCTTCAGATGCATCACAGGACCCTCTGTTGCTTTTTACAGATTCAGACTAACACGGCTACCCCTCTGATACTTGAGCTATTGATAAGTGATGGCTTGCCAGACAGAATGCTGTCCAACTAAGTTTTCTTTAACCACCTTAAGATCTGTTTCTTTATCTGGTGATGGTGGGTGGTACTAGGACAGGAGCCTTCTTAACAGCCTGATGTTACATTGTTTTAATGTAATTTAGATGGATTATGAGAATGTGACTTTCTGCTTCTTGGCTGCTGCTCTCTTAATATGGCTGCAGACAAAGGTCTTAGGCCTTACAATATGGCTACAGGAAAAGGCCTTTTCCTTACACTTGCCTAACAAGCGTCTCCCTATCTACGCTGCTGTTTATATCCGTGGTAGGGGGGCTACCCAAGTATATACTTTACACGCCGCTGAAAGAAGCATGCAGTGTAGACGCACTCTATAGTTCATTTGAACCAGGTACCCCAGAACTGAAAAAATAGCTTACTGATCCACTACACCAGTGGTCCCCAACCTTTTTTGTCTGGCGGGCGCTAGACGACGAGCCACGGAGGACTGTGGCGGCGGACGAGCATCCGTCGAAACTAGGGTTACCATATTTTGTGCCTCCAAATGGAGG